CTCCTTTCCCGCCGCCTTTCAGCACTAGTTGATGTTATGATGCATCGTTGGTCCGGCGTACGACAGCGCCTGATGCGATTTATGCGTCCGGAAGCCCTTTCAGCCTCCACGCAAGTCCCCACCTGCCTCACAGCCACCGACGCATCTCACGGCAGGGTTCTAATTGCGTGCGCGTTCGCATGCGGCATGTCCCGCCACCTTTCTGGCATCTAGTTGATGGTATGATGAATCGTTGTGCGATGTAGGGCTGCGCCTGATGCGATCTCGTTTGCGGAAGGCCGCCCTGAGTGCTGCCAAGCATGTTAATCTCTCATGAGACTACTGAAGGTTAACGAACTGAGTATGCGACCAACACATAAAACATCGCATGTGAATTGTTATGTCATGCGATTCATCAAAGGTAAATCGTGTGTGTTTGTTGTGTGTTAGCTTAGGCCGCATTAAGCTTGACGCAACGAGCCTTCATACGCTTGAAACGCAACATTTGTTTGCATGCGAATTGCGTTGCGACATGTGTGCGTTTGGTGAATGTTAGGCCGCGTTAAGCTTTAGGCAATGAGCCTTTGTACGCATGAAACGCAGCATGTATTAGCATGCGAAATGCGTTGCGGACTGTGTGCGTTTGATATGCGAATGGACGCGAATCGCTTTACGCATTGTCTCCCCACACGCACGAATCGCAATATGGAATCGCATGCGTATCGCCTTGCTACTCATGCGCGTATGCTTCGCGTTTCAACATACGCACGGATGAATCGATCAAGTCGACCAAAACGACGCAAGTTAATTTCCAAATAAACCTTTACAGTCTGAAAATTATAAATTTTTAAAAAACTTGGCCAGGAGGGCCGATATCCGCTTTTCCATAGCCGTTGTGCGTTAGCTCTCTGCGTTACAAAAACATGCTCATTCGCACATAACGCTAAGATTCGCACCGTTACGCAAACTAACGCGAGCTAACGCGGACTTAACGCGATCACCCGTCGTCATAGTGGTAATTCACAGAAAGAAATGCCTTCTGGCTTTTGGATTGGTATCCATCACACATACATGTGGAACATATGAGCAGCGGCAGTTCGAATATCACATGCATCAAGTTCTCCAGAACCACCGACCGGTTACAGTGAGCCAACTAAGCTTTACTTACGGGCACAGAACCTTGCATTACGGACAAAAGCATTTACTATGATGTGTGGGACAGGGGGGTGTATATCTTCACCCGTGGCCTGTACCCGGCGATACCCTGCCTTCCCCGGTATTTCAGGACATCCTCATCTTGTCAACCTAGTCAACTCTTCGCTTAGGTTCCGCACCCACCACCAGCATCCAACGGATTCTGCAGGATCGACGGCGGATCAACTCCATTCCTGGTCAGCTCACAAGTGAACTTTATCACAGGTCACCACTGTCCATCGACCTTTACCCTCCACCGACTGTTGGGTTTTCGACCCTGATAGGTCTCGATATCAGGATCTCGCGGGGGCAATGGTCCGTCCCTATGGCAGTCCGGAGACGTGTAACTCGTCAGGCTCGGTAGCTACGGGGCAGTTGTCTGGACAGGTTACTCGCCAGCTAGAAGCTTGATAAATGTGCAACCTTGAAAGTGCCATAATTAGGCACAGATATGCGCGCTGAGTGTGTGAAATGTTATGACGAGGTTAGTTAACATGTTTGCCATCAAATATGAGTGTAGGGAGGCATTATTTGTCCTTATGATTTGCTCTCTACCTACGGCCATTTGGCAGTCCAGAGACGTGTAGCGCCCAAGGCTCAGCAGCTACGGGACAGTGGTCTGGACGAGGTTATTTTTGACGTGCAGCCCCGAAAGCACATTGGGAAGCATGAATATAACTGGTGAATGCATCATCAGTGAGGTTTAGGTTAGTTTAGGTGTTTGCCACCTGTATTGGTGCTCCGATGTAACATGACCATTGGTAGTCATGGTCATGGCCCAAAGGAACGCCAATTGTTCAAGCACAAAGTAGAATATAGTTCATGAACAAATAAGTACATAGGCAAGGTTACCCGAGGCCGACGCCGATCGACATGGTCGACCAGGTCCGCCAACGTAGTGGGTCCATGCCACAATATCCGAAAGTCGGCTGAAATCATTTAAAACCGTGTCAGGTTTACTGAATAAAATTACAACCGACGAGGTTTCCATGCCATTGGCTGACATAACCGCTCATGAACGGCTTTGGCTATTATGGCTTCAATGTCCTCTCCATCAAAAAAATATCTTCATTACGAAAGACCAAAGCATGTAGCCATAACTCCCAACTCAGTCGAGCACGATATGGGCCAAGTATTGTTGCTAACAGAGGTCGGCAAATCGGTTTCTACGGCTGCGGGAGGGCATAATTTCGGTCAATAAACCTAAAAAAATTTTGGCGCCTTCCGGCGCCAAAAGAGACAGCATTTCAGGGCTCCACGTTCCGTACACATTGCAGGGGGGGCAAGGGTTCGTTGCCAAGCAAGTTCTTGCGCCATGAAGTTAGCATCGCCCCCGAGCTATTCATCGCCGACCGCATGCGGTTGAAGCGCGGGGCGTGAAGGATATTCTCGACCTTATCGGTGATATGCGTGTAAGGTGCATCCTAGTGGAGGACTTGTACTTGGCCATCGCCCCCTTCAACATTGCATCCTCCTTCTTCAAGGACCCGACATACTCAGCTTCACAAAAAGACCTTCGTTGAACTTAAGCCGGT